GCGAGGGCTGGTCGACCTGATGCTCGACGAGGCGGCGAGGCCTGCCAAGGTCGAGTGCTGTCTCAGAGCCGGGGTCGCGCTCAAGCAGCTGTGGATTGGCATCGTATGCGTCGACGGGTCCGTCACTTGCCCGAGGTGCCCGCAGCTCGCGAGGGCTGGTTGGTCAGCAGTGTCGGTGACGGCAGACGGGCGCCTCCAGGGAGGTATGTACGGGTGCGTGCCAGGAGAGTTCCAGGAGATAGGCTACGCCGAGCTGTACGCGGTGGTCAGGGTCTTGCGGGAGAAAGGGCTCGGGCATCTCACCATCGTGAGCGACTGCAAGGGCGTAGTCGACGATTACTTGCGGGGGGAAGCTTATTGCACCTCGCACCTAAGTAAATACGCAGATCTGTGGCGCGAGTTTTGGTTCCACGTGAACGATGCTGGGCACGACATGGTCTCCCTGGTCTGGGTCAAGGCGCATGCCTCGTGGCGCGTGGCCGAGCTGCTGGGGGCGAGTTGGTGCCACCACATCGGGAACAAAGAGGCGGACAGGCTGGCCAAACTTGGAGCCCGTCTTCACCCGCAAGATCGGCTTCGAGAGTGTGAGGCCAGATTTGCCGCGGCCCACGAAGCGGCCGCCGACCTCCTGCTCCACCATGGCGTGGTGCTGAAAGAGCTCGCGGGCTTGGGCTGGCCCGACAGGGGTCCTCTCCCTGGCCGTCGCGGGGCCCCAAAGGGGATTCAGCTGGAGTTTGAGAGGTCCTCAAACGGGCACACTTTAAAGCGTCTGGGTAGGGCCTGGGGTTGCCTCCGGTGTGGGATTCGCAAGGCCTCCAGGGCCAGAGTGGTTTCGCTCCCATGCGTTGGGGTCCCGAGGCCAGCTGCCCTGGCGCATGATTCCCATCGGCTCTGGGTCGTTCTGCGTCGTCGGGGCCTGGGGGGGGGAGTCCGTCGTCGTCGGGGGGGTACCAGACCGAAGGGAGTCAGGACGCCATCGTGTTCTGTAACGTCTGCGGGGCGTACGCCCGACGGCAGACGCATTTGTTGCGCGACGAGTGTAAGCCAGCGAATCGCCTTGCCAGGAAGGCGTTGGATAAGCTCCGTGCAGGGCGAGAGCCTCAGTCTGATGTCTACTGGGGCCTTCCCTTCCCGTTAATTCGGCGTCAGCGGTTGGCCAATGTTTGATATGTTTGAACAGGTTAAACTGCTGTGCCCAAATTTTCGGCCTCGTGGATCCGTGTTTAACGTGTTTAAGCCGCGGAACCCTGGGTTTTTTCCGTCCTGGGTGGAGGTCCCGGCCGCTCCTGGGAGAGTTCCTGCGTGATGTAGGTGCGGTAGTGTTTCATGAGACACACCGTTTTTAGGACACAGAGGACACAGAGGAGGAGGAGGAGGAGGAGGAGGAGGAGGAGGAGGAGAATGAGGCGCTGGCTGCACCCTCAGAATGGCAGTGAGGGCGCGGGGCGCCGGTCGCGGCGGCCAGAGCAGCAGCCAGCTGGGCGCCGTGGGGCGACGTCGCAACATGTACATACTCCTGGCCACCGTCTCGGCCTGGCCACGACGACGAGAGCTGCAAGAGAAGGAGGCTGGCCCATCGCGCAAGTGCCGGCCTACGATCAAAAGTACACGGCGAAGAGCATCGAGACTTCCAACGGCATCTCACGGAAGGACGGCTACGATTGCTCTGGGCAGATCTACCTGGGCGCCGTAGAGCCGAACGAGGACACCGCCCACAACGGCGTCTACGGCGCCTTGAGGAGTGCGTTCGAGATCGAGCGGCGGGAGGTGGAGCATCTATGCACATCGCCGAACGTGGCAGCGCCGCGTGGGCAGATCCGACGGCCATGCGATTGCGGACGGAGGTGTCCCGCGAGGCGGACATCCACTGGTGCCCCTTCGATGTGTTCTCTCTCTCTCTCTCTCTTCCAGACGAATCTGGCGAGCAAGATTGGGGCGACCGGGTCGACCGCATTCGAGTTTCTTTCCCGGTCAACGCGAAGCCTTGCGCGTGCCGGGGAAGGGGGCGGCGGCGAAAAAAAGAATGGGGGAGCTCATCAGGCAGCGACCAGCGGAAGCAGCAACGAGACGAGCAACATCTACAGCACATGGTGGCGAAGTTTTGGGATATTAACGACGCCCTCGATAGTGAGGGTCATATTTCACCACCAGAGTCGAGAACCAAACCAGTCGCGACTACGGACATCCGACAAGAAGAGAGCTCATACCCGACAGAGGCCAGGACGCGCGCCGAGATGATGGCCCTGGTCGACAAGCCGAAAGAAGCAAGGAGGAATAAGGTTGACACTGAGAATCACTTCGACGACTGCGGTGATTCCATCGAGGGGCTGGGCATGAGCAGCGAGCTCTTCGCGACCTACGAGGAATACGAGACGTACTCGGACGTCGACGACTACTCCAGATTTCGTAATAAAAGGGAGGGGGTCCGGACCCTCCAAGACAAGCCATTTCAGACCCCCCCCCCCCGTGGGAGAACCCTCCAAAACATCGTCCCCAGACCCCCCCTGGCCCTCCAAGATAGCCTGGAAGAGACCCCCACCCGAAATGAGACCCCCCTCCCTTTATTGCGAAATCTGGAGTACCCTGTGCTCTTCACCCGGGAAGAGTTCTGTGATGGTGGATGCCACACCTCTTGTCTTCGCGGACGCGCGGGCGACGACGGAGCCGCGCGGCGCGAGGGCCCGGGAGCCCGTCGGGCCGCCGATCTCACGCATCGTGTTGCTTTCCTCGCGAAGACGACGTCTGGCATGGACGTCCTCCTCCTCCTCCTCCTCCTCCTCCTCCTCCTCCTCCTCCCACTCCTAGCCCTTTAGATCCGGGTCGGTGGCACCGGCCGTCAGGCCTCTCCAATCTGCGGGGGAAGAGACTGCGTTAGTCGCATCTGCGTTCGCAGGAAATGTCGAGTTGGCCATACTTTCGATCTCGTGTGCGGCTCAAATCTTCGGAATCCGGACGAACTATTGTCCCCATCTTCGGAATCCGGACGAACTATTGTCCCCGTCTGGGGATATTTGGAGCGTGGTGCGGCGGTCGCGGCGATGGCTCCTCAATGTACTCCCTACGGCCGCCTCTCGAATATCAACAACGCCGGGGACAGCTGGATGGAGAGCTCCAGGAGGTGCCAGCCGCTGGCCATCCTGAGCGGAGAGGCGGCCCTTTACCAGCTGGAGCGCGGACGAGGTTTTATGAATGAGAGTCTAGCTGGATCCAAGCTGCATTATGAACCACCGTGGCGGCGAGCTGTGGCGTATCCTGAAGTTGTGCACGCCATGGTGGATCAGTGAATGGCAAGCATGAGAAGCTCAGCTGGAGTACCGATGGGGAAGAGGACGGAGCTTTGGGTATCACACGAGGCTCAACTACGGCACGTAGCGATGTTTCAGTGCGACGGCGGACATGAGCACGAGACGATCGAAGGCAGAGAGGAGACGAAGCGGGCCAAGCTGTGGCCCTGGTCTTTCGCAGTCTCCATCGCGAACGGCATCGTGGACTATATGTACGAGGTGGCGAATCAGGAGGTGACGCGCTACCCGCAGAGCGCGGCGGCCTATCCTGGGGCCCAGGGCTGCTGCAGCGGCGCCGGCGGACGAGCAGGAGCCGCGGTGGCCGCCATGGGCGCAGCCCCCCTGGGACGCGGCGGGTTCCGTCGACCCGTCGCCACCGGCCGCGCCGGGGCTAGCTGTGGGGAGGCGCATCCATCCCCGCGGCGCAGTCAGCGCCCGCGGTGGCGGCGACTCCCGAGAGCTAAGCTCCCGGGCCTCTAGTTGAAGCCACAGTTCGTCCAGCGCGCGTGGGACGGCGAGCACGCTCTGGATGGAGCTGCAGGGCGCGCAACGGCGCCAACGTGGCCCACGCGCGCATACCTGGAGAGCGCAGGCTAGCGACGCCTGGGGCCAAACCATGCGCTTATCGCCGGGGAATGGGGGTGGGCTACCGAGGTGAATCCGCAACCACCTGGCAGACGACGCCCATTTCGAGCAGCGGCCAACGATCCAGCTCCAGGAGCTGGAACGCAACTACAGGATGACGACGTGCCGGACGGAGGTGTCGGGAGCGGCCAAGAGGGAGGTGTTCAAGGGGGGGGGGGGGCAATCATGACCGGCGGCATGTGCGCGGCCCAGCGGGGGGGGCCAGGGACGTAATGAAATAAGAAGAGGCGCCATGAGATCTGGGGAAATATCATGGCCCCCGCCATGATATCCACCCCCCCCTAGTCATCACCCCCCTCTTTTCCGCCCCCGAAGGCGAGACTGCCGCTGCCCCAGCACCAGCGGCGCCGGAAGCAGAGCAGACCGGGGGCGGAGATCGGTCGAGCTGGGGCTCGGGCTCGGCAGGGCGCGCGCCGTCCAGAAACAGCGAGGCGGTGTCTCGGCGCGTTCTCCGACGCCTGCATCTCCGATGGTTTCTCATGCCAACAAGAAGGCCGTGCAGCGCATGCTCACCGCCGCCGGCGTTCCGCCCAAGGTGATCCAGATGGTCGACGACATCGTGGATACCTGCAGGGAGGGGCGGCAATAGGCCGACCACGACGGTAAAAACTGAGCGTCGACTTCAACGACGAAATGCAGCTGGAACTTCTCTTCTACGAGCGACGGGTCACTGGACATTTGCGCGACGGGTGCCTTCGGTTCACTGTCGCCCGTGAGCTGGCGGATAAGTCCATGGAGTACCTCTTGGACTTTATAGCAGGAGTGGTTCTTGGAAGGATCGGTACTACACGAACGCTCCAGGCGCCAGGTCAGCACGCGCAGGTGGTGGAGCGACACCGTGAGATATTACGGAGACAACAACACCTGATCGACGCCCAGCGAGTGCCGCGAGAACGAGATCAAAGCTGGCGGAGGCCGTCTACGCGAAGAATGCGTTCCTGACGATAGAAAGGGCACCCCCTACAAGGCGCCACGCGGCAGGGTGCATCTTCTGCTCAGAGCTTTCGACAGAAGAGGAGCTCGAGAGTATGACGACGATAACGGGTTGGCTATATTTCGGCGCGCCCAGAGGCTGCGCGAGATTGCGACTGCGTCGCTCATCGAGGCGACGGCGCAGGCCAGGATGGAGAGAGCAGCGGAGTCGAGAGCGGCCCTGGTGCTGGAGGACTTGAAGCTCGAGATCGGCGATCTTGTGAACTTCTGCAAACCCGGCAAGGCCCCGAAGGGCGCGCCGACGTGGAAGGGCCCAGCAAAGGTGGTGTCAGCGGCCGCGCCAGAGTCGGGCTCGCTGACACTCCAGTGGCAGGGTCGAGACATGACGATCAAGGCCACTGCCATCAGAAGGGCGATTTTGATCACCTACGCCGCGTCGTTCGTGTCGAAGGAAAGCGATCCAGCTCGGGTGCCCCTCGACTTTGCGCGCGATATCGGCGGGGGCTTCGAGCGCCCAGGCTGGGCGAGTGCCTCAGAATGCGAGTCGTTGACGAAGGTGTCTCAGAAAGGCCCCAGAGTGGTGGCGGCCATGCTGCAGGTAGCCTCGTACGGCTTGCATCTCAATGGGGCTGTGGCGGCACGAGTTGACAGAAAGGTGCCGACGCTGCCTGGGCTGCGCGACTTCGAGTTCCGCGCGACGCGCCGGTGGATGCCGAGGAGACAAGGCAAGGACGACACGGGCGTGGAAGCGGTGTGCTACTGGGCTCACGACAGATTCGGCGAAGCATATTGGAACGCCACCTAGTTCGCGCAGTTCCTCACCGCAGAGCCCTACGCGCTGGACAGCCTGCAGAAGCAGGCCCCCCAGGCACCGCGCATGGGGGGGCCTCGCCTGCCCGGCGCGGGCGCTTGGCGGCGAGAGCATCGCGCGACGGCCAAGCGCCCGCTCTCAGCGGGCTCGCAGGGTTCCGAGCGCCCGGCAGCGCACGTGGCAAGGAGGCCGGAAGGCGAGTCCCCTGAGACGACGCCGACACCTCCACGCCCTCCTCCTGGACTCCAACACCCAGCTGAAGGAGCGACAGCGACAGCAGCCGCGGAGGAGTCTAACGAGGAGGCAGATGAGGAGGACAGTCTCGAGAAGCTATACTCGGTCGAGGCACTCTGGTCGATACCGAAAGAAGGCAAGGAAATACCCAATGAGAACGATGTCCTGGAATTGGTGAGGTATCTGACGGAGGAGCCGGACACCTCGGCCATCGACAGGAGTGACGTGATCACGGACTACGATGTCATGGAGGCCTGGATGACTCAGGACGACAACTACGGCAAGCTGACTACGGAGATTGCGGAGTCTCTGCAGCCCGAGAAGGTTATGCATATTGTTTTCGCAGCAGGGGCATGGAAGATGCTAAACGAACCCTACGTCGCGGGAGATCCCAGACACGACGACGATGTGGTGATTCTCACCTTTTACGGGAACGGTGCCGCGAAGGCAAAGATGGAGCGCGACGACAACATCCTGACGCCGGTCGAAAAGATAGAACACCGAGAAGCATTACGAGCCGGGCGTCTCAAGGTGTTGCGCCACTGGGCAGGTTTCAAGGCCATGTCCAGGATTTCGCGGAGAAATGCCAAGAATCTCGTCGGCGCGAAGTGGGTCGACAACTGGAAAGGGACACAAAGCATCTGACGGCACTATCACGAGGATCAGTCGCTGCAGGTTGGCAGCACGCGGGTTGAAGGACCGTCATAAGGACGAAGCTGAGGCCTTCACGGCGACGGGCACCCGCTGGGGACAGCGAGCGGTGAAGATTCGGGCGGCTCAACACCGGTGGAAGCTCTGCAATGCGGACATCTCCTCGGCACTTCTTCCGGGCATGCCGTCTGAAGAGGTCTCGCAGTTACGGAACGAGCCTATCAGAGAGACATGTTTCGAGCTGCCCCACAGATCGGAAGAATTGCGATGCGAGGTCGAGGGCTTCGAGCTCCTCGTCCTCGGTCTCAACGACGCTCCGATCAAATGTTGTTGTCGGTTGGTCTTCGAGCAACTCATGTCGATTCCCAACTTTGGCTGAAACACGATGGTCAGGTTCTACTGTTATGGGTCTCCACGCACCTGGACGACCTGAGAGAACGCCGGAGAGGACAAGGCCTACGAGCGCTGGAGGCGGTTTTCGGCAAGATGGCTATGCATGAGACGAACTTTGTGCACTGCGGACTCCGACACCGAAAATTAGATTATACAAGCACAGGGATGGACCAAACATAATACATCAAGAACCTGAACTGAATCGACGACAAGGAAATACAGGGCAAGAGTGACGAGGACGACCCGCCAGAGAAGCACGTGAAATTGTATCCGTCCCTCCTTGGAGCTATTGTGTGGTGTATCATGACGAGAGTGAGTCTATGCATATACGTGGCGGCTCTGCAGAGGCATGGCAAGGAGAGAGCCAGATGACAAAGGCCTGGCCATGAGGGGCGCAGTATACCTTCTGGTGAAAGATGGAGAAGGACCAGGAGGCAAATGCAACATGCTGGAGTACGGTTCGAGGAAGCAAGCTCGCGTGGTGCGAAGTACATGGGGAGCCGATCTGTGCCAGCTATCGGATGGATGTGATTGTCTTTTTCTGCGTGCGGGTTTCCAGGCAGAGGTTCAGATGGGAGAGATGAGTTGACAACGATTGCGAGACATGTTGGATGGCGCTGACAACTGCGTGATGCCAGCACTGCCGCTGGAGGCTTGTGCACACGCGCAGAATGTGTTCTATGGCATTACGGCTGAGCAACTCAAAATGCCGGCCGAGAGGCACACGCTGTATCATGCACAATGGGTACGAGAGCTGCTGGACAGAGTCGTCTTACGAGTATTATGGTGGATCGGCACGAGGGACCGCTGTGCAGATGGTCTTACCAAAGGCAGTGTACCACGAGAGGCTCTGGGGTGCGTCGCTCGAGGATGGTGGAAGGTTCAACGCCCGGTTATGGCATGGAAGTCGAAGGGCCGAGTGCTCCAGATATCGAATTAGATTTCGAGTCAAGCACCGACGACGACGTCGGAGGCCCTTTCATGTACGTATCGATGTTGTGGGAGCGTACTCTCTGGCGGGCAGGCTCCCGTGCCTGTCGGAGATCAACGACCTGAACACGTTCACCACGAGCCGAATAGCGCCGCGGCGCAGCCGACCTGACCTGTGCGGGGCGCGGCCGAATAGCGCCGCGGCGCAGTTGAGCCAAAACGGTTTTTTGTGAGGAGGAGGAGGAGGAACAGGACATTAGAACACTGGATGGAGGGCGAAGGGGATGATTAAGATGGACCCAAGCGCAAAGTACGACGACGAACAATCATGACGAAGGGGTCATTGGGATACAGTCGTGCCGCTGAAAGAAGGAACGCCAAATAAAGAACGAAGCTCCTTCTTGGCCCTGCAAGCGCCTCCGTGCCCCAGGAGGGCAAGAGGAACAACACTCCGATTCAAGAAGCAATGACAACGCCAACAGCGACGATGATCCTGCTGATGAGTGATGAGGATCACGAATTCGATGATTATGAAGACGACGAAAATGTCGACGATGATGAATTCGGCCGTATGACAAGGCACCCGCCTTCGTTCACTTCATTGGTTGAATGAAGCTCCTAGGCTGCACCTGAACCTCGCAACCCGCTGTTAGGAAGCAGCTGCTGGGAGGTCTTCGTCAGAACAATTAAAGGATAGTAAGCCTGTCTAAGAAAGAAACCACTGGACCAAAATAGGCTGGATTAATCCCGGGATTTAGCAAAATGAAACAGGATCTGCCCGGAATAAGTGGGAGCTGGGACGGATGAGGCGGGAATTCAGCCAGACTAAGCCCGTTCTCGACTAGGCGTACACCGGAGCCGATTCTGAACGTAACCTCGCGCGAATTTCATCCTGACCGCTGGGTCCAGCTAAGCCGTTTGCTGACTGTGATTCGCGTGGGCGCTGAGCACCCTGGTTCGGGCCGTGGCCGAACTAAATTTAGTGGGACATGGTTCAATGCTATGCGCTTTAGGGGCTCCCCCCCTGCTCCGTTCCACCAACCCGAACTGTCATCACCCCAACCACCGGGGGCAACAACAGACCAGATTTGAGTGGTTCTGGCAGATTAGTTTGGTTTCGGGGTCCTATCACAAACCAATTCTCCCTGCCCGGGGCCCTGGCAAAATACGACGGGTGCGGGGGACAGAAGAACAGACTGCATAAACGTAAATTCTGGGAGGTCCGCGCGTTTATCTGTATCTGCGCTGGGAGCCCCTCCCTGGCGCGCGGAGCGCGTGACAGGGGCGGCGCCCGAGGCGCCACCAGGGTGGCCCGGCGCCGATCGAAGAGACCCGCGCGAACCTCGGGAAAACATGTGCAACATATGTTTATGATGCCCTTCATTTGCCGATGCAACCTGCGCCCGTGTTCGGAATTGGACATCCGCAGCGCCCGACCCTCGAGCCTCCTCGAATCGGTCCTCGAGACACACACACACTCCTGTCGGGAGAGGGCTCCTTGTGGCTTCCTTGAAGCCCGGAGCGTGATCGGTGCTCGCCCTCCGCTCCCCCGCCCCTGGGGGCAAGAGGTCGGAGGAGCGGGCGGGGGGAGGGAGGGGCAGGACGGAGGGGACGAAGACGCTGAGGGTGAGGCGAGGACGAGGACGCTGGGGTTGCGGAGGGGGAGGCGGAGGACGAGGACGCGGGGGGGGGAGCGGGAGGAAGGAGGACGAGGACGCTGCGGGTGAGGCGAGGAAGTGAGGCGCCCGCGGTGCCTGCGGGGCCTGCGGGGGGGGGGGGGGCGCCCGCGGCGCCGGCGGGGCGGCTACCGGCGAACCTCGGGGCGGCGGGGGCGGGAGCGGCGCCAGCAGGGCTCGCACCCTCGTGCCCAACTCGGGGGGCAGGGGGTCGGAGGAGCGGGAGGGCAGGGGGGAGGGGGATGATCGGCGGCGACGACAGGGGCGGATAGCCCGGGGGCGGGCATTGCGTGCGTCCCGCGGGGGAGCCTCGCGGAAGACATGGACCATCGGCGCCCCTGGATACGTGTATGGCGTGGCTCCCCCCTGGGCCACTCGCCCCGATCGTCGCCTCGGGGATGAGGGCTCCGAGGAGAATCCTGGAAGCTTCGGGCGGCAACTTGAGACCCACCGCACGTCGGAGCCACGTCGGGTTTGCGTCGGCCTCCCGGCGGATTTGCGTCGGACTCACGTCTGACTTACGTCGGAGCATCGCCGCGCGAACGTCGACGCATATCTGACGGGGCAGGCGTGCGGACTGAATGACACAACAATCGCGCCCCTCACGGGGCCACCCGGAATGTCCTTACAAGGAGGAGGAGGATTGCGATGAAGGGTTCCAACACTGGCTATCCAAATGGCACAGCGAGGGGGCAATGCCCACGGACAAATAATGTATAACCTAAATAACCAACACCGTCATCGCTGGCTTCCTTGTCGAATCATGACTGTCAGCGCTGCAAGGCGAGTGAAGGGGCCAACCGCGAGAGGAGGGAGAAGGAAGACGGGGGGTTGAACGGGAGCAGGGAGAAGGGGGAGGTGGGTAAGGACGGGGACGACGGGGAGGATGACGAGGAGGAAGGAGAGGAGGGCCAGAGTTAGCCCAAGATGCGTCAGCGAACGCGCACCGCACACGGTCCATTCCTCATAAGTCCCTACACCTGATCATATTCCTAGGGGAGGGTGCCTCATTGAAAGACAGCCCCCACCTTTCGACACGCCATCCTGTAAGTATAATACATGTCAATACGAATGGTCATATCATACAGATCCGCCACCGTGCCCCTGGGCACGGAGTGGGCATGTCCTCAGGTCCTTTGCACAACCCTCTAAGCCTCAGTGGCACGGAACCAAATTGCTAAATTTCCCAAGGCTTTCCGCGTGGTGACGCGTGAATGTTTCGGGCCCGAGAGGGCCCCAAGACGGGCCACGATGGCCCCAAGAGGCCCCGAAAACTGTCCAAGAGGGCCCCCGAGTCGCCGAACGATCGCTCCAAGACGCTCAAGATGGCCCCCAGACGGCGCAAGAGGCCACCAAGACGCCCCAAGAGGCCTCCAAGAGGCCTCCCAAGAGGGCCCCAAGAGGCCAACATCATTGATTATCGTTAGGCTGTTGAAGGTTTTTGGCTCTCTCGCTTTCCCGGCGATCCAAGAGGCGTTAACCGCCATCCACATCGCCCCAGGACGGCCCAAGAGGCCTCCAAGAGGGCGGCTCCAAGAGAGAGCCCAGATGGGGGACCCGAACGGACATGTCGAGCCCTCGGCCCCGATAGGTCCCCAGAAGACCCCAAGAGGCCCCCAAGAGGCGCCAAGAGGCCCCCAAGAGACTCAAAGAGGCAAGAGGCTCCCAAAAGGCTCTAAACTGCCCCAGAGGCCCCCGAGAGCGCTCCGAAGAGACCCCAAGAAACATCCCTGAGAACTCTGACCCAAAAGCCCAGGCTCGGTGGCGGTATGGTCCGAACGCCATTAGGTACATGCCAAACGATAACTTCCTTTCGAAGACGGTTTGCCTCCATCGACTGGACGACTCGAACCGTGAAAGACGAGCTTGCGCGGCTCTGGAGCGAGAGCCACGTCTCACAACTCAGCCGCCCTCCAGACGAGAATAATTAAGACATTGTTACGCGAATGCGTGCGGCA